GGGGGCCGGGTCGGGATTGCTCACGGCGGCCCACCATTGCGGCGGGGCAACTGCTTCGGTGTCTGGCCGGCATCCGGCCCCGTCTTGGGCCATGGGTCGAGGGGGGCCGCGCCACGGCGGGTGTGAAAGTGTGGAGTGGCGCAGGCGACCGAAATTGCGGGCTAATAAGATGGTCACCGGTGGGACCGGCACCGGGGTCCGGCCGGCGAGCCCGTGTGTTAGCTGGGCGCAGGGGTCGCGGCAGGTGGCGTGTGCCAAAGGTGGCGCCGAAGACCCCAATTGGTGCGTGCGCGTGTGCAAGATAGTCGAGCTGCCGTACGGGGGGTGGGGGGGGGGGGGGGCGGCGGCGGCGGCGGCGGCGGAACACGAGCCAAGGTAGCAAGTTCCCGGCAAGTGGCCGCATTCGGCGAGACTGGGGCCCCCTGTACCTTTTCAGGGCGGGGCTGAGGCGGTGGAGCATGTGCGCGTGCGCGTGTGCATGTGTAAGTGTTGGTAGAGACTCGGCCAAAGGCGGAAGAGGGGGGGGGGGAGGCTGGGGTCCAGCATGCGTGTATGTGCGTGTACCCGTGTGTACATACTCGTGTGTGTCAGTGTGTGTGTGTGTCAGTGTGTGTGTGTGTGTGTGTGTGTGTGTCCATCTGCATGTGTTTGTGTGGTCGTAGGCCGGCATGTGCATGGGCAAGCTGGCACATGCGGGACGGGGCGGGGCGGGGCGAGGCCGGGCTGGTTGCATTGCCAGGCGGCGGGGCATTCCCTCGGGTCGCGCTGCCAGCGAGATAGTGACGATCTTCAGGGCCACGGTACTGGGTGATTACCCGGGAGATAGCGCGGCGCACGTGCATGGGCGCATGTGCTGGCATATGCTTGCACTCGCCGGGCTGACACCCAGGGAGGAGCTTCTTTGTGGCCGGTCCCCGGGCATGTGGCTGTTGCTGTGCCGAGGGCCGTGATGCTGGCCGTCGGGGCGGAGGGGAAGAAGGAGGGGGAAGGGGGGCGAGCGAGGGGCGAGCGAGGGGCGAGCGGCGGGCGAGCGGCGGGCGGGGGGGGGGGGGGCGGGGGAGGGCGAGGCCACGGCGGGGGCGGCCACCACCGTGCAGGCGGATAGTTATCACTAGGCGGGGCTGGCTGGGGATTGGCTGATCGCCGGGCATTGTCCTCATCCTTCTCCGCCTCCTCCTCCTCCGCCTCCTTCTCCGCCTCCGCCCCCTCCTCCGCCTCTTCCTGCCTCTCGTTCCGCCGCCCTGGGCGCACTCATCTTTGAGGAGCATTTTTCCGCGCGTGCACCACCGCGTGTGGGCCCCCCGCTGTCGAGCCGGTTGCCATTTCTTTTCGTTCCCCCCCCCCCCCCCACTTGCGTACCGTGTGTCCCGTCATTTCCGGTTGTTTGCTCTTCCCTTCTCCTCCCCTTCCCCCACCACCACCGGGCCTTTGCATGAGCTCGTGACGGTGTTTCCGTGCGCTGATGCATCTCTGAAAGAGGCCGGAGAGACAGCGAGGCAGAGAGACAGGGAGACAGAGAGAGAGAGAGAGAGGGCGTTTGTGTGCATGCACATACGCCTGCGTAGCCACTCCACGATCCCGAAAACTGCGTGGTCCGCGCGTGGCCGCCTTCCTTGCGAGAGGCGGCTGCGCAGGAGCGGCTGCACCCGCCCCGGTGACAAGCGCAATCGTGTGGCTCGGAATCTCTCGGCCTGCTTGTCACCCTGTCCGCCTGCCTGTATCCCCGGCTATCCGTGCACCCATGCGCGCCTGTGTGCCTGTGTGTGTGTGTGTGCGGAGGGGGGGGGAGCGCCCGGCGGAACAGTTGTACTAACGCATTGCTCCGGGCAAATGGGCGGGCCGAGAACAGCCCCCCCCCCTGGTGCTTCAAGAGACAGCGCCACACAGAAAGGAGACCGTCTGGTGGCAGGTCGCGCGCGCTCTCTCGCCCGGGACAAATCCATCGGCCCCCGCACGCGCCGCCATGACCGGCGAGCCATCGCCCACGGACTCGGAGAAGTCCCTCGAGTCCTCGCGTGAGTACCTGTCGCCGACGGACTTCGAGCGGACCCCGGCAAAGCCCGGCAGCCTGACGCCCGGCGACGCGCGAGCAAGCCGCGCGCCGGCATCATCGGACCAGGCGCCGCCGCCCCCGCCCCCGCCGCCGGCACAGCAGCCGCAGCATGTGGCACCGGTCGAAAGCGCCGCACCGCCCTCGAGGCAGCCTCGGCCGCCGGTGGCGTTGTCCCGCCGGGCCAGCGCCGCCGGGCCGGTGGACCTGGAAAAGGAGCTGGGCTTCGAGCTGGGGGACCTGCCAGCGGCGGGGTCCGGCGGCGCGGCGACGACAGACGACGACCCGGCCGAGCGCCGGCGCGCGGGCGGCAGCCGCGCACACTCCCTACGGGCAGCCGGGTCGCCGCGGCTCGGGGCCCTGACCGGGGCCCGGCCGCCGGTGCACCTGACCGTGGACACGAGCCCGGCCGCGTTGCATTCCACCAGCGGCGGAGGCTCGGCCATGGGGCTGCCGCTGTACCGGTCGCCGGTGTTGGCGGCCGTGGCCGATGGCTGGGACACCGAGGGCAGTCGACGGAGCCCGGTGCCGGGCGGGCCGGCCGGCGGGCCGGCCGGGTCCGGCGGCGGGGCGCGCGCGCGCATGTTCGCGCCGGCCGTGTCGGCCCTGGCTCGCGCCGTGGCCGGGGCCTTCGGCTCGCCGGATGCCATCCACTTCCAGGTGGGCCGGGCCGACTTGGAGCAGGTGGAGCCCGTGTCGCTGGGGACGCCGATGACCCCGATCAGCGCCGGGTCCGCCGGGCCGTCGGCCATCCCCGCCCGCATGGACATTGCCTCGTCGCTGCCGGTGACGCCGATGTCCACCAAGAGCCTGGAGAAGGCCAGCGGCGAGGCCATCCAGGCGGTCCGCCTCAGTTGGAACGACATAGTTCACCGGGTGGTGGTGCGAAGCCGCTCTGGTTTCGGCGTGGGATTGGGCTTTCCCCTTTGGGGGGGCGGGGGAGGGGGAGCGGGGCAAGGGGAGAGGGGGCCTCCTCCTTTTTGCTGTGGTGCCCCCGTGCGAGCGTCTGACCAGGACACCTTCCGATCGCGCACTGCCATTGACTCTGGCCCCGGGCCCATGTGTGTGCACATCGGCATGCATGCACGTATACGGGCACGTACGCATACGGGCACGCATGTATACGGGCACGCACGTTCACACGCATGTATACGGGCACGCACGTTCACACGCATGCACGCACGCACACGCACGTTTACACGCATGCACGCACGCACACGCACGCACACACACAAACACACACACAAACACACACAAACACAATCACACACAAACACAATCACACACACACACACAAACACAAACACACACACATGTGCAGGTCAACAAGAGCATCTTCCGGCGACGCAGCGGCGAGGAGAAGGTCATCCTGGACCGCGTGTCCGGCATGGCCCTGCCCGGGCGAGTGCTGGCCATCATGGGCCCCTCCGGCGGGGGCAAAACCTCGCTCCTGGACGCGGTGTCCGGCCGGCTGCCCGGCATCAAGGGCCAGGTCCTGGTCAATGGGGCCCCGCTGCCGAAGAACTTCCGCCGGGTGTCGTCCTACGTCATGCAGGACGACCTGATGTTCACGACCCTCTCGCCGCGGGAGCAGCTGACATTTGCGGCGCGCGTGCGCCTGGCCCCGAGCCTCACCTCGGCCGACATCGCCGAGCATGTGGAGATCCTGCTGGACCAGCTGAGCCTGACCCGGGTGGCGGACACCCTGGTCGGCCGGCAGGGCGCCCGCCGGGGGCTGTCCGGCGGCGAGCGCAAGCGCACGGCCATCGCCTACGAAATGATCACCAACCCGTCGTTGCTGTTCCTGGACGAGCCGACCAGCGGCCTGGACTCCTTCACGGCCTTCAGCCTGCTGGAGGTGCTGAAGAACCTGGCCCGCGAGGGCCGGACCATTGTCACGACCATTCACCAGCCGAGCTCCGACATTTTCGCCATGTTCGACGACCTGGTGCTCCTGTCCCGCGGACGAGTGCGTGGCGGGGCTGCTGCTTGGCTTTGGCTTTGGCTTTGGCTTTGGCTTTGGCTTTGGCTTTGGCTTTGGCTTTGGCTCGGCCGCCTGGCGGCGCGCGCCCTCTGGCCGGCCGGCCTGCCTGCGCGGGGGGCACCAAGGCGGGAGGGGCGGGAGGGCGGGCAAGCGGGCATTCCGCTTTATTATGGGTCCTGATCGCCGGGTGTCTAACTCATGTGCTCTGCTGTTGTTTTTCCCGCCCCGCCGGTGGCGGGGGGACGTTGCGTGCGGCCATGTGGCGATGTGCCTGTGCATGCCTGCATGTGCGTGCCTGTGTGCCCTCGCGCGCGCGTGCACACACACACACACACACACACGCGCGCGCGCACGTCCATGCACGCAGGTGGCCTACTTCGGCGAGGCGGCCCTGGCGGTGGACTACTTCTCCAAGATTGGCTACGAGTGTCCCACCTACACCAACCCCTCGGACTTCTTCATGAAGGTCCTGCACAGCCACTCGGCCGAGGATGTCACCCGGGTGCAGCACATCACGGCCACCTTCGAGGAGCAGTCGGCCCCGCAGCTCCGCCAGGAGATCACCCAGCAGGTGCGCGCTTGCGAACAGAGGCATGGGCGGACATGTTGCTTGAGCGTTCGGGCGTGCGGTCGCACTTCTTCGTCGCCCGGAGAGCTAACCTCCCCGCCCTGTGGCCGGCATTCTGGCGCCTCTGTGGCCCCGCGATCGCGCTGGGGCCACCCCAACAAACGCACACACGCACACACGCACACACGCACACAC